AAGATACTGGAGTGGCTTGCCATTTCCTACTCCAGGTGGATTGCGTTTAGTCGGAACTCTCCACTATGTCCTGTCCGTCTTGGGTGTCCCTGCCCGGCATAGCCCATAGCTTCTCTGAGTTACTCAAGCCCCTTCGCCACGACAAGGCAGCAATCCATGAAGGAGAGGAAAACAGTATCTCCACCAAATTAGGTTGCTGAAAATGAATGAATGGAAGGCAAATCAAAAGTGGATTTTCTGTGTCTAAGGCTGATCAAAAATTCTAGCAGAGAACCTTAGCTCAAAACAGTCTGTCCCTTAATCTGTAGTCTGTGTTCAGCTGTTTCTGAAGTTCTACTGAAGAACAAGAAGGATCCTGAAAATCAGGTGCCAGCTAATCCTAAGAGCATCAAGCCTTTCACCCAATTGCTTCCTGTTCTTAGCTTTGTTTTAAATCTTTACCATTTAGTTTAATTTGGTATTTTGGTTTAATCCACTCTATTATGCCACATTTGTTTTCTTACTGTTCTTGTCTGTAAACCGGCCAGGATTTATTTATGTATTTTGTATGGCATAGCAGAATAAAGCATTATTGCATAGGACTTGGCAAAGACAATATAGGCAGTAGCAGGCATCCTTCAGTCTCAAGAGACTATGGTAATGTGCTCTGAGTAGAGGTCCTGGAGCAGCGTCTAGTGTGGCTGAGAAGGCCAATTCGAGAGTGACCATCCCTTCCACACTGAAGACAAATACAGTCTGTCCCCTGTCCAGCTCCCTGAATTTGCTGGTTTTGGGCCTGCCTCTTTGCCTGGGGCTGCTGGACAAGGGGCTCTTCAAAAGGTCATAAACAACTTGTGAAAAGAGCCAGGTTTTGACTTGAAGTATTTGAACTCGTGTCTGGACCTGATAATGGACTGGATGAGAGTTAATAAATTGAAACTCAGTCCAGACAAGACGGAAGTGCTGTAAGTGGGTGCTTCTCCGGACAGTTTGGAGGGCCATTTGAATGGGATTACACTTCCCCTAAGGGACAGGGTCTGCAGCCTGGGGGTGCTCCTGGACCCCAGTCTAACTCTGGAAGCCAGTTTGAGAAGGCCAAATAAACCTAATCCCTTCCACACTGAAGACATACAGTCTGTCCCCCGTCCAGCTCCCTGTTTTTTCAATGTTGTGTGTGAAGCTGGAGTGTCCTCTCCAGAGCACGAAGCCTGGATAAAATAATATGGAGGATAGGCTGTTAC